GATTCAAATTAATGTCGAAACGGTTTTTTCCCGGGTGAGATTTTGGAAACCACACCAGTTTTTAATTATTCTCTTTAGATTAAATTTAAATTAAAAATGAATGTGATTAAAAAACCTCTCCCGGGAAAAAACCGTTTCGACAGCATGGCGACTCCGCTGGGGACAATTTTAGAGAGTCAGGCCGATAATTGATTAATTAATTGTCTTTGCAAATAAAAAATACAAGTTCGTTCTAATTTGGTTTTTGATCCCTTGTTTTGTTTTAAATAAGTTTTGAATGCTTTTTGACTCTTAATTTGCTTAACCACTAAATAGTTGTACTGATCTGTTTGCTAATGTTGTCAGATTAAATAATTGTTCAGGGTCTTGAGTTTTATTTTTAGTGTTGTTTGCTTTGTTTCGCTTTTCCTCACACACTGCACAACTGCATTCGCATAACATGAGCTAAAACCCCGCTCCGTCCTATTTAAGTAGGAGAAAGTAACTACTCCCTCGTGTGGTTTTCACCTCCGTGCGGGATAGTGAAATGCTCCTTGGGCTCACACCTTATGATCCTCGTGAGGTTTTCACCTCCGCAATGACATAAGGAAGTGTGTCCCCTCAAATTGAACTCAATCCGAAAGCCTGTGATGGGCCAGGATTGAGGGTTCGGTAGCCCAAGAGGGCACCGACAAAGGACAATTCGAGAACCTCTTACTTTAGAACTGAACCCAGCATATAGTGAACATATAGCCCAAATTTAGGTCGAGCCTGACCTGAAACTTAGGAGTCCCGTGAGGAGGGTACACAAGGAAAAGTTTTTGAGTCATTTATTTTCACTTTTTGAATAAATGTATGCGAACTAGAAATCATGCGGTTAGGATTATTTTCCTGAACAAACATGTGAATTAGATATCATGCGGTTAGGATTTTTGTGAAAAGCATATGGGTAGAAATCATGAATGGGTAGGATCTACTAAAGTATGATTGGGTAGCTAACATGTAGGGTAGGTTTTATCGATAAATTGATTTATGTTTAGTCAATTCATTTATGATTACTGACCGATTTTCTTTCTTTTTGTTTACTTTATCCTCATATTGCATTGCAATATTCATTTCATTGGTGTTGATCCATGACTGATGTCCATATAGAAGACTAGTATTATGGAACGAATGATTCAAAAAATAGAGGACAATGCAGACGTCTTGATATGGTCCGAGCAGTCTCAACTAACAAATGGAGACAGTTTATCACCAGGGTATATATCAGAGCTGAGAGGGTATACTCACATCAACGTTTGTCAGAATGATCTGAACGAACTGAAAGAGATTTGGGGAAGATGGGAAACGTCCGATAAGCAATTGTTCTATCAATTCCATGGTGACATTTCATATCTCCTTGATATCCCGATTGATCGGAATTTGTTTAGAGCTCTAGCTCAGTTTTGGAATCCCGCTTATAGCTGTTTTACATTTGGCCGAGTAGACATGACACCTACTATAGAGGAGTATCGTGCCTTGATTCGCTGTCCGAGGTTCCAAGTAGACAAAGTATACACCAAACCCCCAAATACTCCTTCATTTAAGAAAAAACTTGTTCTGATGACTGGCATGAGTGAAGAATGGGTTATGAGAGGCATAAAAAATAAAGGAGACCGCGAATGCGTTACTTGGACCCTTATGAGAGATTTGATTGACTGTCATCCTGATCGAAGAAAAAAGATTGACTTCTTTGCTTTAGGTATCTATGGATTGGTTATTTTCCCAAGAGTTCTCGGGCATATTGATGTATCAGTGGTAGACCTGTTCGAAAGATTGGATAGACATGTGGATCCTGTTCCAGCTATTCTGGCAGAAACATTTCGTTCCCTGAGCTCTTGCCGAAGAGAAGGGGAAGGACGATTCATAGGTTGTGCACCATTGTTGCTAACCTGGATCCTTAGTCATTTCAAACACGTCGAGAGAGCACCTGGTCGGGTCTTCTTAGATGGTTTTTCACCGTTGAAGGATTTCATTTCTCGACAATGGCCTGGGGGTTTTACTGAGGAAAAGTGGATGATCATTTTCAAAAATATCCGAGACAGTGACATATTATGGCGTACCTCATGGAATATCTCATCTGACATATTGTATCAATGTGGAGATAGAGATTGGGTCCCATTACCTGGTATTTGGGGATCTGTAGGGTATACCCCATTACTGGTTTCCCGACAATTTGGGTCGAGACAGTTTATTCCGGCAACAAGGGAGTTATCTAAGTCTGAGTTTGCATTCAGGGGAGAACTGTATAAGAATAAAGTTAAAGGGATCACTGATGCTTGGAGACACACCCATCGGGTAAATCTCTTTACTTTTGAGTCAAGGCTATCTCGAGGATACGATGAGTGGAGAAGCAACCGAGTTAATGATAATATTCCAATAGGCAATCAAGAGAATATCCAATCTATGGAAGAACACCTCAGGGTGATCCCGTCTCCGCTCGAGCAAGCCAGGCTTGATTTTGAGGCAGAAAGGAAACAATGGAGAGTAACTTTACAAAAGCTAGAAGATGAAGTATATCAGAAAGGGCTGGAGACTGACATCCAAAAAAGTCGGGCTGATCGGATTGAAAAAGTGGAGAAGCAACTTAGATTGGATTTCAATGACCTCCATTTATCACACCAGCGAATGATCAAAGACCAGGCATCTGATAGCTCTAGTAAGTCTTCTACTGAATGGAGGCAAGAAGTGGCAGGACTGAAAAGAGAAGTTGGGGAAAGCAGTGAAGAACTCAAACGGAGTAGACATCAGGCCAAAATACTCTTGAGAGACAAAAATGCCCTTGAACAACAGTTGCTAGAGAATCAGACCCAGAATAAGAAATTAAAGAATAGGGTCTTGAATTTAGAGACTGTTTTGCAACGATATCGAAGTCGAGAAAGTAGTTCACATGCTGAAGTGGAAAGATTGACGAAGCGTGCGAATGAATTTGAGGCCTTAGTTCAAGATTTGCAAAAAAGAGCAAATGAACTTCCGTTGGTCCCTTATGAAGGAGTTATGCAATGGCGCTATCGTTGGGAGCAAGCTCAGTGGAGAGTTAAGCAAAGGGAGGATCTCATTGCAAGATACCTACATCAAGCTCAAGGAGTGGCTCATCACTTGGTTGATCTGTCACAGGAAGCTGATAATGTGATCGAAGAACTGGATCCAGAGGCAGAAGAAAACCAGAAGATAGTGGAATTATTGGGACATATCCAACAATTAGGAGAGATAGCTCTATTGTATCTGTGATCTGTTTAATCTTTGTAATTGAGCTTCGTTTCCTATATAAAAAGTTGTTCTAAGGAATCGTCCCAAAATCAACACCTTGTATTGCATTCATCTTGCATTCATATTGCATCTACATTGCATTTCCTTTTATGAATAACATTCTAATCACATTTTTCACACCTCATTAATAAAACACCATGATTAATAAAAAATATTGTGGCAGAATACTGGACACTTATAAGCATCCATACAACACGTGAAAAAAGGCAATGGATGATAGAATTGTCAATATAGAGAAGGTTCAAGCTGAAATACAAGAGAATTTAAAGAAAGCGCAAGAGGAAATGCGTGAACAGATAATGAAGGCTCAAGATGACATGATGGCAAAGTTGGTTAGTTTGCTACAGGGAAATAGTGTGGTCCAAGGAGAGGCTCCAATTATCGGTCCTGCTGCTGAGGAACCTTTATATCCCCCTGGCTTCACACCACCGTATATCCACACACAACAAGCCACGACCATCCAACCGAAAAAAATACAAGTGAACTTACCTGGCTCTTCGACAAACCCACAACCAATTGAAGATGTCCCTGATTTGGATGAGGAAGACAAAAAAGAACAGGATAAGGAGATTAAGAAAGAATGGGAACAAATGAAACATGAATTCCGAGCTATGAAAGAAGATGCTAGCCTATATGGAATTGACGCCAGAGAACTAAGTTTGGTCCCCGATTTAGTGTTGCCACCGAAGTTCAAAGTTCCAGACTTTGAGAAATTTGATGGCACCAGTTGTCCTTCTACATACATTACCATGTTTTGCAGAAAAATGACAGGCTATGTGGGAAACGATCAGCTATTAATTCATTGTCTTCAAGAGAGCCTGGCAGGCTCAGCAATCCGTTGGTACAATCAGCTAAGCCGAGCTCAGATTAAATCCTGGAAGGATTTGGCTAAGGCTTTTCTAGAGCAATATAAGCACGTAAAAGATGTGAGGCCGAATCGAATTCTGTTGCAGAGTATGGAAAAAAGATCCAATGAGAGTTTCAGGCAATATGCTCAAAGGTGGAGAGATGTGGCTATGCAAGTTCATCCACCATTAGAGGAGGAAGAAACCAATATGTTTTTTATAAATACTCTGAGGGCCCCGTTCTTTGGACATCTCATTGGAAATTCATCTAAGAATTTTGCTGACATAGTTAATGCAGGAGAAATGATCGAGATGGCGATCAAAAGTGGGAAGCTAGACGGGGGGGAATCTAGCCGAAAGCCTCCAGTGAGAAGAAAAGATAATGAGGTCAGTAATGTGAAGAAATATGATTCTAATAACATTACAGTATCTCGACCACCGGCCACTGCGTCGTCAGTATTAAATCATGTCCAACAAGGAGTGAAAGAACCAAGACAGGAAAGGGAAAGGGTTCAATTTGACCCTATCCCCATGACCTATAAAGAATTATTCCAGATCCTGTATGACAAACATGTGGTGTCACCTTACCACACTTCTCCAATACAACCTCCTTACCCAAAATGGTTTGACATCAATGCTCAATGTGAGTATCATGCGGGGGCATCGGGGCATTCAATTGAAAACTGTCTGGCCTTTAAAAAGTTGGTGCAGAGATTAAGACAAAGAAATGTTATCAACTTCGGTGATAGTGAGCAGCCTAATGTGGTTCAGAACCCACTACCGAACCATGCAGGAACAGGGGTCAATGTTGTTATTGAATAAAAAGAGAATGAAGTCATAACCAAAGTCAATGAAGTGAAGTCACCCATGCATTGGGTATGGGGGCAAATAGTCAAAGTAGGCTGGTTGACCTTTAATGCTAACAAGAATAAGTATGCTTGCCCCTATCACCGTTGCGAGGATCATGCCATTCAAAACTGTGACGAGTTCAAGGCCTTGGTTCAAAGGTTGATGGATAATAAAGACATGGAATTTTACCATGAGGCTACGAAAGAGAAAGAGATTGAGATTTGCACTTCTGAAGACACATCCAAAGGAGTTTACAATACTAACTACCCTTTAGTCATCACACCAAAAGCTCGGACTATAGAAAGGTTAATCCCAAAAGTGATGATCACGCCTCCATCGTCATTTCTTTATAAAGACAACAAACAGGTCCCTTGGAGGTATGGATGCCAAATAGAGAATGTTGAGAGTTCAGAAGATGCTAAGAAAGAGGTGGATGAGGTAGGCCACTTCACCAGAAGTGGGAGATGTTATTCTCCTAACCAAATCAGTGAACCTGAGAAAAGAGCGGCCCCTGATAAAGGAAAAAGGGTCGAGATAATGATGAAAGATAATGAGTCAACAATCAATGAGCCGGTAACAGAGAACGAGGCTGTAGAGTTTTTAAAATTTTTGAAGCATAGTGAGTACAGCATCGTCGAGCAATTACACAAGTTGCCAGCTCGTATCTCGATCCTGTCTCTACTATTAAGCTCTGAGGCACATCGAAATGCATTACTGAAAGTTTTGAATCAGACTTTCGTACCGAAAGATGTGCCAGTGGAAAAGATAGATCGGCTGGTTTCAAATATTCAGGCGGATAATTTCATCTTTTTCTCTGATGACGAGATCCCATCCGGAATGATGGGCAATCCTAAAGCCCTGCATATTACCATCAGGTGCAAGGGACATGTGTTATCACGAGTACTAATCGACAATGGCTCTTCCCTGAATGTGATGCCATTAGTGACATTGAAAAAACTGCCGGTTGATAGTACATACATGAGAAATTGCCAAAGCATCGTTCGAGCTTTTGACGGAACAAAGAAGGAGGTGCTGGGGAAGATCGATATTCCTTTAACCATAGGACCATCAACCTATGAGGTCGAATTCCTTGTAATGGATATAATGCCTTCCTATAACTGCTTGTTAGGAAGGCCTTGGATCCATCAAGCAGGAGTTGTGCCATCCACTTTGCATCAGAAACTCAAATTCGTAATTGAGGGGAGACTGGTATGCCTTAATGCTGAGGAAGATATCATTGCTTCCATATCTACTACCGCTCCATATGTCGAAATAGATGAAGATGCGGTCGAGTGCTCTTTCAGAGCCTTGGAATTCATTAATGCCACCTTTGTTGCCGAAAGAAAGAAAATTCTGAAGCCTAGGCTATCCAATTGTACCAAAATGGAACTGAAAATGACTATGGGAAGAGGAGCCAAGGTTGGAAGTGGGTTGGGAAGCCGCCTACAGGGAAATATTAGTCCAGTTTTTCCTGGTATTAAGCGAGATCGTTTTGGTTTGGGATATCGCCCGACCTTAAAGGAAAAGTTGAAAAATGTTCAAAAGAGCCAGGAAAGGAGGAAAGCCAGGTTAGTCGGGGAAGATATTAAGTGGGAACCCATGAATTTCCCATTGTTGCGTGACACCTTCATATCTGGGGGCCATATGTTTCAGGGGAGTCGATCATCAAAAGAGTCTGTTATTAAAAATAACCTGAAGGATTTGGGCGTAAATGTGATATCAGAGGAAGGAATTGAAGACGGAAGGGCTATGGGCATCTACCCCGCACCACCAGGCTTTGTGCTAAACAATTGGACAGCAGAAGAATTACCTGTAGTTTACAAAACTATTTCAGAGTAATGCACAAAAACTTTCCCTATTGTCTAAACCCTGAGGCAATAGGTGATCTCTTGTAAGGGGTTAATCTATCTGTTTTTTTTAAATAAATGATGCATTCCTCTTAATTCACGAAATGACAAATATCATCATTTCCATTCTTTTATTTATTTATTTCTTTTTTATATATTATTATTTCATTCTATTTCGATATGGGATAGATTCTCCTGTATTTGTATATGTATATATCCTCTCGTTCGTTATTCTTTCAGGACCTCCGATATCAATAGTATGAATGCTGATGAGTCTGACCTGAAGATAGATTTCGAGTTGTCCATATGTCAAGGGGAAATTGAAGGTTATGATAGTGATGAGGGAAGCCACTTATCTTCTGAACTACTAAAAATGGTAGAAATAGAAGATAAACAAATTCTGCCTCATGAAGAGCCCATTGAGATCTTGAATCTAGGATCAGAGGAGGATAAAAAAGAGATAAAGATTGGCACCATCATATCTGCTGAGGGACGACAAAGTCTGATTCAGCTGCTTCGAGAGTACAGAGATGTGTTCGCTTGGTCGTATGAGGACATGCCAGGGTTAGATACTGAATTAGTGGTACATAAATTGCCAATAAAGCCTGAATGTAAACCGGTACAACAAAAGTTCAGAAGGATGCGACCTGAAATGATACTTAAAATTAAAGAAGAAGTAAAGAAACAATTTGATGCGGGGTTCCTGAAAGTAGCCAAGTATCCGGAATGGGTAGCAAATGTCGTTCCAGTACCAAAGAAAGATGGGAAAGTTCGCATGTGCGTCGACTACAGAGATCTTAATCGGGCCAGTCCGAAAGATAATTTCCCTCTGCCACACATAGACACCCTGGTGGACAATACAGCTGGAAACTTTCTATTTTCATTTATGGATGGGTTTTCAGGTTACAATCAAATAAAGATGCATCCAGATGATATGGAAAAAACTACGTTTGTCACCATGTGGGGTACGTTCTGTTACAAGGTGATGCCGTTCGGACTAAAGAATGCAGGGGCAACCTATCAAAGGGCCATGGTAACACTATTCCATGACATGATGCACAAGGAAATCGAGGTATATGTCGATGATATGATTGTTAAAGCTAAAACGGAGGAAGAACACATCGAGAATCTGAGGAAACTCTTCCAAAGATTAAGGAGCTGCCAGTTAAAACTCAATCCAAGCAAGTGTACCTTCGGGGTAACATCGGGAAAACTCTTGGGGTTTGTAGTAAGCAAAAAAGGGATTGAAGTAGATCCTGACAAGGTCAAAGCTATTCAGAATTTACCACCCCCAAAAACACAAAAAGAAGTTCGAGGATTTCTGGGAAGATTAAACTACATCGCCCGATTTATTTCGCAATTAACTGAGAAGTGCGATCCCATTTTTCGCCTTCTCCGTAAAAATAACCCAGGGGTATGGAATGATGATTGCCAGGGAGCTTTTGAAGCAATAAAAGGATATTTGTCGAATGCTCCAGTATTAATGCCACCAATATCCGGCAAACCATTAATCCTCTACTTATCAATCTTTGAGAATTCAATGGGGTGCGTATTAGGGCAGCATGATCAAACTGAGAAAAGAGAAAGAGCAATTTACTACCTCAGCAAAAAGTTTACTGATTGCGAGACAAGGTACTCACCAATAGAAAAGTTGTGTTGTGCTTTAGTTTGGACTACCCGAAGGCTCAGACAATATATGTTGTATCACTCTACTTGGCTCATATCTAAACTTGATCCTCTAAAATATCTAATGGATGTACCTGCTTTATCTGGAAGATTGGCTCGTTGGCAAATCTTATTGTCAGAATTTGATATCCAATATGTAAGCCAAAAAGCAGTTAAAGGAAGTGTTGTGGCCGATTTCATTGCAAGTAGGGTTTTTGAAGAGTATGAACCACTGAACTTCGATTTTCCAGACGAAGATTTAATGGTTATTTCAACAGAGAATGCAGTTTCCTTTATTAATGAACAGTGGAAGATGAATTTCGATGGTGCCTCTAATGCTTTAGGGCACGGGATTGGGGCAATTCTCGTCTCACCTTGTGGAAAACACTATCCTTTCACCAGCCGATTGAATTTTGATTGCACAAATAATATGGCCGAATATGAAGCATGTATTCTGGGTCTGAAAGCTGCCATTGAGCGTAAAGTGAAAATACTCGAAGTATATGGAGATTCAGCCCTGGTAATTTATCAACTCAGAGGTGAATGGGAAACAAAAGATACGAAGTTGGTAGAATACCGAAAGTTGGTCTTAGAGCTCATTAAAGAATTCGAGAGGGTGACATTTCATTATCTCCCCAGAGAAGAGAATCAAATGGCGGATGCTCTGGCCACTTTGGCAGCAGCTTTCAAAGTCAATGAATATTCAAGCATGATGCCTATTACGATAGAAGCTTACGGGTATCCAGCCCATTGCTATAGCATAGAAGAGGAAGAGGATGGAAATCCCTGGTATTACGATATCCTGCAATATATTAAAAATCAAAGCTACCCTAAGCATGCCATTGAGAATGACAAAAGAACTATTCGAAGAATGGCAGCAGGATATGTGCTTGATGGTGAGGTCTTGTACAAGAAAAGTCATGATCAAGTCTTGTTACGGTGTGTAGATGCCAAAGAAGCCAGAACAATCATTGAAGATGTGCATGAATGAGTATGTGGTACACATGCTAATGGACATGTAATGGCTAAACAAATAATGAGATTTGGATATTATTGGTCAACTCTGGAAACTGATTGTATCAATTTCTCCAGAAAATGTCACAAATGCCAGATTTATGGAGATAAGCTCCACACCCCTCCTCATCCATTACATGTAATGACTGCTCCGTGGCCATTCTCTATGTGGGGCATGGATGTCATTGGGCAAATTTCACCCAAAGCTTCTAATGGCCATCGTTTCATATTTGTGGCAATAGACTATTTCACTAAGTGGGTAGAAGCGACATCCTATGCAAATGTCACTCAGTCAACAGTTTGCAAGTTCTTGAAGAGAGAAATTATTTGTCGGTATGGGCTACCAGAAAGGATTGTCACTGACAATGCCTTGAATTTAAATAATAAGATGATGGAGTCAGTATGTAAACAATTCCAAATTAAACATCATAATTCCACCACTTATCGCCCAAAGATGAATGGAGCGGTAGAGGCAGCCAATAAGAACATCAAGAGGCTCATACAGAAAATGACTGAGACTTATAGAGATTGGCATGAGAAGTTACCATTCGCTCTGTTTGCCTATCGAACTTCAGTGAGGACGTCTACTGGGGCAACTCCATTTTCTTTAGTTTATGGTATGGAGGCTGTGTTACCCATCGAGGTTGAGATTCCGTCACTACGAGTGCTGTCAGAGGTTAAGTTAGATGAAGCAGAATGGGTGCAAGCTAGGTATGATCAATTGAACCTGATTGAGGAAAAAAGATTAAAAGCTATCTGTCATGGGCAAATGTACCAGAAACGTATGATAAGGGCACATAATAAAAAGGTTTATCCACGAGAGTTTCAAGAAGGATACTTGGTGCTAAGAAAGATCTTGTCAATTCAGAAAGACTTTCGAGGAAAATGGATGCCAAATTGGGAAGGACCTTATGTGGTAAAGAAGGCCTTTTCTGGAGGAGCTTTGATCCTCACCGAGATGGATGGACCAGAGTTATCTAACCCTGTGAATGCTGATGCAGTCAAGAAGTATTTTGCCTGAAAAAATGAATGGAAAAATGAATGGAAGAAAATGAAAAAAAAAGAAAGAAAAAATGAGGAAAAAGAAAAAGAAAAATAAAAGAAGGGTTCAAGATAAAAACCTGTAAAGGGCGTCTTGAAACCAGAAAAGGTCTCATGTTGAAAACCCGTAAAGGTTAGCTTGAGAATGGTGTAAATTCAGAATTCGTGCATAGTGGAGGTTTTGAATTAGTTTTGAAAGCTTGATATGATAGTCATGGGTTAGGGTTGGAAATTGAAAAGCTTGGATAACAAGAAAGTAAACGAGACTCAAACGCTGGCTTATGATATCCAACAGTAGGGAATTTGGCAGTACAGGGGGAACTTCACACCCTTACGCATTACCACAATCATCAAGATCCCCTTGACAGAAGCTACACTCAGGTCTCTTACGGCGTGCCAGTTCAAAAGCATTCGTTCTATTGATGTCTGATGACGCCTATTGTATTTTCTTTTAATTATTCCTTTTAAAAGTTTGTCATGTATTCACTAAAAAAAACTCTTTATTTATAAATAAAAAGATGTTTTTAACCGCATTGTAAATATCCTGATTAAAAATAAAAACATGTAGATTAGCTCGGGAAACATGAGATCATTGTGCATTATTGTACAAAAAGTTTTGGAAAATACAGATATTCTGAAGCCGAAAATGGTTTTAGCATAAAGCTTGTGCAATGTTAGACCATAAGAAGTTAAAGCCTTGGGATATACGCAAATGCTTAACAATTGGGGATAACCCAAGAGGTTTTATTACTAATTAAATTGTGGGTCATGAGAAGCACATGGGTTCAAAGAGTAAAGAGAATCAGAGTCAGGCTCAACCAAAGAATGCCCAACTAGGATTGTCGATTGAGATGAATTGTTGTTGATTTTTCGTGCCTAAACCAGTCTGAAGTACAAGGCCGTTAACAAAAGAAAATTCTCGTTTGAAAAGAAAATACTCTCAAAATAATTGCATCATTGCACACATTTTAGGCATAAACAAGATCATGGCATAAAATGCATAATAATGAGTGCTTGCAGGTTCTCTTAAAAGAAATGACAGAGATGTAAAGACCAAACATAGTAATAACCAATTCGAACTTCCATGATTGGTCAGGGCAAGACAAGCTTCCGCAAGAGAAATCTTTCCCAAAGATTATTATCCTGAGACTTTCAGGTATGATATTTTTGAATCGTTAAACATATACTAACAAAGGTTAATGTTAATTTTCAGGTTCGACCCTGATTCAATGGATCAACTTTCCTATATCTGATATTCCCTTAGAAGAAGTGGAACAGATCCCTCTCTTTCAAGATTTGATATTCCCTGAGTGACAGCGGAACAAGTCTACCTTGATTCAATGAATCAACTTTCACAGATCTGATATTCCCTCAGAGGAAGTGGAACAGATCCCTCTTTCATGATTTGATATTCCCTGAGTGATAGCGGAACAAGTCTACCTTGATTCAATGAATCAACTTTCCCATATCTGATATTCCCTCAGAGGAAGTGGAACAGATCCCTCTCTTTTAAGATTTGATATTCCCTGAGTGACAGCGGAACAAGTCTACCTTGATTCAATGAATCAACTTTCCCAGATCTGATATTCCCTCAGAGGAAGTGGAACAGATCCCTCTCTTTCAAGATTTTATATTCCCTGAGCGACAGTGGAACAAGTCTACCCTGATTCAATGGATCAACTTTCCTAGATCTGATATTCCCTCAGGAGAAGCGGAACAGATCAAATCTCTTTCAAGATTTGATATTCCATAAGTGATAATGGAACAAGTCTACCCTGATTTAATTTTACCTGAAGAACAGTGGAGTGGATCAACATTCCCAGATCTGATATTCCCTGAGTGACAGCGGAACAGATCCTTTATCATATTTCAAACTATGAAGTTGACTGGACAAAAAACACACTGTCTCTTCGTCTTTGCTCTATTCTTGTTGACACAAGAATGAGCAAAGAGGGGCAGCTGTCGACACTAACTTTTCGTCCTGTCTTTTAATACATTATTATTATTATTATTGTGATTATTAATGTTACATATTATATTTTACAGACCCAAGACCCAGTTACAAATATCAACCGAATTACAAGATGTTGGTTTAAGCCCATGTGACCCGGTTCAGTAACCCGACCTAATGAATTTAGGATTTGCTAAAATCCTAAAGCAAGCTGCCATCAACTTCAACTGTCATCCACGCATGTCTCCTACTGCAGTGTCAAGCCAACATAGAGACACCACCAAATACTTCTAAAAGTTGTCATCATCTGGCCATCTCAGCAAATGTGACTGGATTGAAACCAATGTCAACACAAAAGATTAAGTTTACCTAAATCGTTGAAAAAAAAAGCAAATCCCGAAAATTACGGGATTAAAGATACCTGCTTCAACACTAATTGAAGAAAAAAGTGGATTCGAAACAACCATAAATAGGGGAAATTTCAACGGGGATGGAGGAGAGAGTCAGAGGAGAGGAAGAAGCAAAAGGAAAAAATAGAAAGGAGATAGGCAAAATTCACCAACAAGCAGGGGTTCTGATATGTCATTCGAAAGCTGTAAAATAGGAAGGGAGGATTTTGATCAACAGATGAAACCCGAGTGAAAACAGATTGTAAGGGTCGGTTCTTCAATAGAAAGAGGGGATCTTTCAAAAACAATTTGTAAGAGGGTCATTAATACAAAAGGGTCTCCTGGGATTTTGATTCAAAATCAATAAAATACCAATTTTCTTCCTTTGATTTTTCGTACAAGCAATTCCCCATTTTTATCAACAACCCGACAGCACAAAGCAAAGCATTTTTAAGGTAACAAATCATATTCATTTTTTAGTATAAGTTTTGAAACAAAACAGAATAGAAAGCAGAGGTAAAAAAAGAGGAAGCAAATATTACCTTGGAGTGGTCGGAGAGGAGTATGGCCACCACGACGTGGTGATCGACCGAGTGATGAACGAGCTGTGGATCTTGATGTACATCCGCTGTTCGTGAAGAGAGTCAGAGAGGGGGAGAATGTCGCTGGGGAGAGTTTATGTTTAGTAAACAAGGTTAGGGCAAATTCTCATCTAAAATAATATATATTAATTCATAAAAATAACAGTGTTTCAATAGTTGTAAAACCGTGTTTTGCATAGGGAGGGGTAAATCCTTTGGCTAATCCTTTGAGCTTTAAAGCATTCAACTCGGGTGTTTAAGTTTTTTATTTTCTGATTATAGCTCCTAAGTTTCATGTGAATTTCATTTAGGTCCCTAATTGTAGGTTTATATTTATAATTTTGTCTCTATATTTTATGCGCATTTAATTTCAGTCCCAAGCAGTTTTGTATTTAACTTTTATTGTTTAGACATTGGAACCTTAAATTGTTGTATGTCTTTTTTAGTCCTATGTTATGTTGTTTATAATTTCTTGTTGTTTTGACTTCTAGCCCGTAATTTTGTTAAATTACATTTTAATCCCATAGTATGTTCATTTTAATTCTCATGTTATTTTGCACTATGTTCGGTTGTTTTTTGGTATATGCTATTTTTGTCCTTTGTGGTATAAATGTATATATACATACATAGGTGGCATATTTTGGTCCATATGAAGCATATTTATATTTTTAAACTAAGACGTTATGGTGTGTAAAGTCATGTAAATTTATTTTAATTTAGTCCATTATTAGGATTGATTTCTTTAATTAGTTGCACGTAATGGTTTTGCATGTTGATATGTTTTGATATGTACAAGTATACGGATGATTTATTTGCAAATTGTATGACATTTTTACATGTATTTTGTATGAGATCCTCACGTGCATCACTCAACCTAATTACATAATCTGATTAATGGTAATATTCGAGCATTTTAATATTGTCGTAAAGTGACTGTCTTAACGGATAAGAAAGTTACTTTTGATAATTTTAAAATGAAAGTCTATCCTATAAGTGACACCAATTAAAACATATTCATTTTTAAAATTTGGGGACTGAGGAAAAGATCGTATTCTTTTAATTAAATTCACCGAGAAAAGACAGTTAGATCGAATCTATGGTCTCGTCTCTTGATATTTAATTAATTGAATACCCTTGTTCTCATTAAATATTGGTAAATAAATAATTAATCAATTGCTTGATAGTTTTTTTTTACTTTTGCATGTGTTTTTAAAGGGTTTTCAAAATAATAATGTTCGATCATAAATAATGAAATATTATTATTTTATCTCTAAAAATTAGTTTGGGTGTTATTATTTTGAAATTTAGAATGAAATTTCAATATTTTTTATTTCGATTGGAGTAAGAATCGATTGCTTCAAGGTATGATAGATCATTTCTTCTCGATAGGAAATAATTAAATATTATTATTCTTTCATCCAAAATTTTGAAAAATATTATTTTAGGGGATCATAAATCAAATTAATTTTGAACTTATACATTTTATTACAAAGATAATTAATTAATCGACTAGGTACCGATTTAGGGCACTGTGGGGGTGCTAATCCTTCCCCACGTGTAACAGACTCCCGAACTCATTTTCTGGTAACACGGACCTAAATTTGTTGTTTTAATTAAAATTAATTTTTATTTAAAATGACAAAACGTTTTTGGGTGCCCAATCACACCTTAATCAAAGATTGGTGGCGACTCCTCGAACTGTATTTTTATCATAAAGGAATTTCCAAATTTTCGAAACGAGAGGTTTTTTAATCACATTCATTTTTAATTTAAATTTAATCTAAAGAGAATAATTAAAAACTGGTGTGGTTTCCAAAATCTCACCCGGGAAAAAACCGTTTCGACAATTAAGACATTCATATCGATTATATGTATTGTGTAGATATCGAACGAAAGCGAGTACCATATGAGTCAATGAGATAAGATCGATCAAGAAAGAGATAAGTGGGTTGCTTGGACTAGTGAGGCTAAGGTGAGTGCATATTATATTGTATATGGTGTTATGGAAATAAGACTTACGATGGGTCTATTTCAAATGTTTTGATTGTATGATTTTAGGAATGCAAGTATATTGTTTATATGTTTTCTATTTGTGCACATAAATACATATTTATAACTTATATGCATTGTTAGTCATGAACTATGTATTATATGTTATCTTGTGTGATAATGATCTAGGTGAATATATGATAACAAGGTATAAGTTATAGGAATTAGATTTATGTGAACTGGTATAATGGATTTATGTGATTAAATGAAAGTGAAATAAGTTAAGTAGCATTGACCTATATAATAAATATGAGAATAAGATATAAGCTAAGAGATATTGACATAAGTGATTATATGAATAGGTAAGATAAGCTATAAATCTATGATGATATAAGTCTTGTGAAATTCCTATGTGATATGAGTTATATGGTAAAGATTTATGAAACCATATGAGAATTGTTATAGGAGCTATGTGATTATAAGTTATGAGAATACATGTCTATGTAACAAGCTATGTGAAGTTGAACTAAGTGAATATATGAAACTAGTATATAATTAATTTGATATAAGTGATTATTGAATAATGTAAGATAAGCTATATTGCATTAATCTACAGACTATATGAAAGTGTGTACATGAGTATATGTATAAGTTTATATGTTATTCTATATACTACATGCTATATGTGAACATAAGAGATCAAGATATAAGTTATATGGCAATGATCTAAATGACTATATAAAAGATTGACATGAGCTACAAGATAATAAGCTATGTGATTACATGCTTATGTGGTATAAGTTATATGATGCAATCTATGTGATTACATGTACATGTGATATATGCTATGAGACACAATTTATATGAATTCTTGACTATGTAAAATCAAGAGAATAAATGATGTAAATGGTAAAGCCCATAGTATATGAGATGGGAGCTAAGTGTATAGTTAGCATGCCAAGAGTCGAGGGTTCTACGAGGTCCTTCGGGACATATATGTGGTCATTCGGGACAATTCTACTAGGTCCTCCGTGACATATATGTGGTCCTCCGGGACAATTTTATATGGCACTCAGTGCAAATTATACGAGCTGTGGTGACAACATTTGTGCACAATCTCAATGTACTCGCATATCTTTAGTTCTCAGAAGTGTACCATAGGCTAATAAAAGAGATAAAATAAATAAAATGTATGTTATGTTATGTTATGTTTTTTTTTGTGAAATGTATTATATGATGTGTATAAATGTTAAGTACAAGATTATATGATAAAAGGAATTAATGATAAAAATATTGATAACGATAAGAATGTTGATGATGATATATATGTATGTATGCATTTGGTTATGTGAAATATTATATGATTTTGGTATGATATGATGGTATGAAATGTTCTTGTATGGTTAAGTATTTAAGTTTCCATTATACGTTTTATATGTCTCATTAAGTCAACGACTTAGCGTGTGAGTGTTTCACACGTAGGTTCAGAGAAAAAGAGCAAGAATAGGCAAGTCAGGTCAGCTTCTCATTTCCAAAGATCATATCAGAAAAGAATTGAATTGTATATATTTGTTATATTGATTGTAGTTGGCATGTAATTAAATATTTGAGTCGGACATGCATTGATTGAGTTTGTAAACTCTTTGGTTAAAATTATGAAATTTATATTGTTTTATTTAATATAAGTTGAAATTTTTACTATTTTGCACAAATATATGATTTGAAAAATTAATGTGACACCTCGGACGAATATCCGGGTCGGATATGGGTTGGGGTGTTATAGAATATGTGATGTAATAGTTGGTATAATCACACATTTGATCCTTGTTATTTACATATTCTCTCAATCTGGTCATATTTTTAAATAAATTTTAACATAAAATATATATTTTTAAATGAAAATAAAAATAAAATAATTTTAAATTAGTTAATAATAAAATATATTTAATAAGTTAATATAAAAATATTTTTAAGTTAATATATATAAAATATTATGAATTTAATTATTATACACTAAAATATAAAATATATAAACCATGTTGTCTACTTTAGACTAAGCAATGATCTTGGCTTAATGTTTGGTTACATGTTTACTTTTCCTAAGTGACCAATGTTTGAATTTTTTTTGCCTCAATTTGTTTTCCTTTGTTTTCTTTCAACCAGAGGGTGACACGTGTCACTCTTTTATTAGTGAAAATAAATATAATAAATTAAAATAAAATTAATTCTCCAATCGAATGGTGACACGTGATAACATTCTATTGGAGGAATAAATTTATTTTAATTTATTAAAAGTAAGACTAAATTGAGAGAAAATATAAATAACATAGACCAATTGTGTTATTATATGAAAAATTTAACTGTTATTAACGATGATTAACTTGATTGATTATATCATAATTAAATAAAAATAAAGGTGATGATATTTAAAAAAAAAACCTAACTACTGAAAATAAATAAAATTAAATATAAAGGATAAGTCGTGTAATTATTTGGCTATAAAGAACGCTTCTCCTATTGGTTATTCGGCTATAAAGAAAGAAGTCGTCGAAGCCATCTATTTCCAACAATGACTGCCCCTTGTTTATTTACCACTGTATAAACCCTGACATCTAGGATGCCGAGATATTTAGCAGATCAAAAATATCTGGCTAAGTGGTCTACGTCGGCAGACGATCTGGATTCTGGTATTGCACTTTTTTGCCCTTTTCGCTTCTTTTTTTGTTTTCCCTCGGAAAAAAAAGAAATTTTCTTTGGTTCCAAATAGCCGCCCGATTTTCACGCCGGTATCTGAAAATCTCTTAAGATTTTACTCTTTCCTTTCCGAATCAAACAACGAAATTTTGAAGAATCATTCAGAAGAAGACTAATAAGATCCTTGATTTGGAGGCAAAAACATGGGCGAAGAAGTGAAGATAAGCGAATTTGAATTTAACAGCGCAGAGGATGAAGAAGCTACAGAAAAAGCCAACACCACCGTCTTTGACAACGAAGATGATGTTGACCAAAGAGTTCTGGAATGGGAGATTGGATTACCTGACTGCGATGATTTAACTCCGTTATCTCAATCCTTAATTCCACCAGAATTCGCCTCCGCTTTCAGCATCTCGCCGGAGCCTTGTCGGAAGGCTCTTGATGTCAACCGAGCTTCTTACGATACCCTCTCCTCCATCCGATCAAGCGGAGCCCACTTCTCCACTTACAATGACAATAAAAACAACAATAATAACGATATTTGTTCTTTTGACGACCCGATGGTAGTTGAGCCGGAAGGTGGCGGATCGGGTTCCGGTTCTGGTTCTGAACCGAAGAAGTTGAGGAAGACGGGTGTCGATATTGCAGAGGAAGCGGATTCAGCTGTTAGGACAACAGAGAATTCGGAGGATCCATCAGCGATGACACTGAAACGACAGCGTTTAGTGTGGACGCCGCAGCTGCACAAGAGATTCGTAGATGTGGTAGCCCATTTGGGCATAAAAAACGCGGTTCCCAAAACAATCATGCGGTTAATGAACGTGGAAGGCTTGACCCGCGAGAACGTCGCCAGCCATTTGCAGAAATACCGGATTTACTTGAAAAGAATGCAAGGGTTAAGCAACCAAGGACCATCGGCATCCGATCAGATGTTTGCGTCAACGCCGGTGCCGCGGAGTCTTCCCGAGAGCCGAAGCGGCGGCGGAGGAAATGGTCTCGCTGGTGGTAGTAGGAAAGACGATGGGCATGTAGGGATGCCTATACCGATGCCTTCTTTGGTGCCTTTAGCAATGCCGATGTACGGACATATGGCTATGCATCTAGGAGGATATCATAACCGGCAGAATGGGTATGAAGCGAATTCGTACGGGATGCAGCCGAGATATTGGCCTTGTGGGAATAAATCTGGATCGGTGGTGTCGTTGCCCAATCATATGCCTCCCAACCATAAGTTGAGCTAGCTGCATTTTTGTACAAGGGTTAGTTCCTTTCTTTCTTTTTTCATTATTAGAATCTGGTTGGATTTGAATATTAGTTGTATACCTATTATTGTATATATCATGTAATTTGTGTGGAAACTTCGGTTCTTCCAAGTAATATTGAGGGATTGGAGTCCCAACAATCGAAAAACATTGGAGATGTTGCTCAATCTCAATAATCAAACCCCAAAGAGTGGGATTCTCGTATAGGAGCCTAGTCAGGGGCCTGAGTTCCTGTATTTCATATTTGTTTGGGTAAATAACATAAATGGTTCTTTTTTTCAAGTTTCAAAAGTAACGAAACAATCCATAATGTTATTGTTTTGTAACAAATTGGCCACTCAGCTGTTAACCTTAGTTCAGAAGAAGTCCTTTGGGGCACATTTGGACGTTGAGTTGGCATCCCTTTGACTTCAAAAACACTATCAGTCGGAACAGGTAATTCAGATTGGAACTATTCCTAACCTTTTCCACAGGTGTGTCCGTCCTCTCATGAATCAATAGTGCTAGCATCGAATCATTGTAATTTCTAGACCATAATGTAACATAAACAATTATCAATCTGTCGGTGCAGGAAGAATTTTTATTTTGCATTTAACAGAAAACTATTATGCTTTACAAAAATTAACCAAAACAGAGTAAAGAAAGTTTGCCTGCATAGCTTTCCCCAGCAAGGAACAAACCAGAGTTCCTATATTGCGGGAATTCTTTGAATCAGTTAACATGGAATCTCAGATTCTCAGCTGAAAAGGCCTCATTTCATGTTGAATTCACCTGTAGAAGTATCATTGAGTTTAACACCGATGCAATCCGAGCTAGTATTCGAGTAGGAAAATCCAACTCCAATTGGACTCTCAACATTCAAGATGTTTGATTCTGTTCAAAAGGAAAATGAAAACCAGTTTCTTGAAACTAATTTCAACTTCTCCAAGACTTGCACTATACTAAAAGCTTTTACCCAAATTCCATCAATATGAATCTTGACCAAGTTTACATCTCCTGGCTGGAAAGGACCCTGTTCCATAAATGCACCAAAACCAAGAGATGAACATCCAGGCCCCACCCCAATCGACGTATTAAACAAAACCTGCAAATAATGTCAAACAGTGGTGAATGAAACTTATAAAAAAATACTTCACTTTATACCACCATTGAACCATAAAGTTGAGGGATGTAACCCTGGAAACCAGAAACAAGCAAGAAATAACGGTGAAGCAATAGAGATGAACGGGATAGGGAGGAGAGATGGGTATTTATAGGAGAAACTGCGAGGAGGGTTGGGGAGAACAAAGACAAATAAATTGCATTGAAATAGGACTGGGAGTTAAAGGATTTATATTCTTGTAATATAGGTCAAGACTGATTTGTTACAAAACCACAACATTAGTGATTGTTTCGTTACTTTTAAAATTTCAGCACTGAGAAAAAAAGAAACTCATACTTCAGTGATCATTTATGTAGTTTACCCAAACAAATATGAAATACTTGACTCAAATCCCCAATTTCAATATTATTTTGGGTACAAATCCCCAACTTTATAGAATTGCAAAGTTATAGTATCATTTCAACCCCATTTCCCATGCTTCCAGGAAAATGCTATAGACAACGAATGGGATGCTAAAACGGAATTACAAACTTACCACTTTATTATAGTATCACTTCATAAACTAAAAACGGGACAATGATACAGAATCTGTGTACGTTGCGAGTGTACATGTATCTTAAATAGTAGTCTTACAAGAACCATGGTAAGGTTATTAATTAAAAGGAGCTTCTTCACTTCAAGATCTTGGATTCAATCTCTTCCAAGCTCAAACCTTTAGTCTCCGGGACGTAAAACACCACGAACAAAAGTGATAACAGAGCAATCGCACCGAAAAGAAGGAAAAGATTTTCAGCTCCTAACAGCTCCTGCAAATCATAAGCACCATGAGATATTAGAAGAGAACTACTTTCGAAGTTGACTGTAGAGTGTTGAACCAAATACCTTCAATGGTGAGAATGCAAAGGTAACTATGGCATTTGAACCGAAGTTTGTTAGAACTGCAAGACTAATGCCTTTCCCTCTTGTGCGCAGTGGGAAAATTTCAGACACCATCAGCCAACTGATTGGCCCAAATGATACCTGCAACACCGTTTATGAGGTAAACTTGTCAAATTAACTTGATCTCACCGGCATTGAAAGCATATCGACGATGTTAGCTCAATTAAGAACCTGACTTTTTTTTCCTTTTCCAATTTCTATGTGCAAACAATTAAAATCTCTGATCCTAGATGGTCTAGCAGAAACACTCTCATCAAGCAAATAAAAGAATACTGGCCTGATAGCAACCGACATAGAGAAGTAGTGCGGCTACAGCAACATACGGGAATTCTCCGAGAAATTTGTAATAAGCACAAAGCAGAAACAAAGAAAGTGCCTGCAGTGCAACAAGTTCATAAAGGCAAATAAGAACTTCCATGGAAACAAACATATCCAAGTCCCAAAAGGCCAAAACAGATAAAAACAGAAATGAGAGGAATAGGTTACATACAATCCCACCGACACCTCCAATCAGCAAAGGTCTTCTACCAAGGTCATCAACTTTTGCAACGGCTATCCAAGTCATCAGTAACTACGCAAAGAGATATTTTCAACAGTACTTAATCAGCATCGTGAATAAGGTAATTTGATAAACCCTGAATCAAAAGTTAGATAATGAGAAATACTAAGAATTACCTTGAACAAACCTACAACAACAGAAAGGCGGGTAGCATCAGCAGCCGCAGAGAATCCAGCACTCTGGAGAAACAATTTTATACATGCATTATATAGTTCAGATATTTTACATTATATAAGATGAACCATTTAAAAAAGGAGAAAAAGGAAGTTTCAATTATCAGTTACCTGTAGAATTGGACCAGCATAATACAGAACACTTGGTTGGCCAGTTATCTGTCATAATCAGGTTGTAAATAAACCCTTAAACATAAAGTTTTTAGTGTTCCCTTCTCGCATCTTTACATCAGTTAAAAAGAAACAGAAAAATTAGCAAACTGAATAAACAGTATTGTTAAACAAGGAGGAAGAGATACCTGCTGAAAAAGGACTAAACCTCCACCAATTATGAAGGCTTTCAAACTTGGCCCCTGAAGTACCTCCAAGATATTTCCTTCCGATTCCTGTTCCGCATAGGCAAACTTCACCGAGTTTAGGGTATCTTCTATTTGCTTCTCGGATGCTTCATCACCCGGAGCTCGACCCCGTAGTTTGCTTAGGGCAAGGATTGCTTTTTCTTTGTATTCTTGTAAAGATGCTTTACCTTGAACCGCTCTGAGAATTAACCAGCGTGGTGATGGTGGAAGACTCCACATTCCTAGTCCCATTAGTAATGCGATCGGGGCACTACATCCATACATGTATCGCCATCCCCCAACAGCATCGATTTGGAAGTTTCCCACAAAATAGCCCAACTACAGACGAAGCTACACTTAAGCTGAACTTGTTTACAAAGAAATAATGTAGGTAATAATAGCATCTTTAACAACTTACCAAAATTCCCAGAACTATGAATAGTTCTTTTAGAGATATTAGTGTACCACGTATCTGAGATGGGCAAGTTTCTGCTATGTACAGAGGAGCCCCATGCATAGCCTATCAAATGACAAACATTCAAGAATGCTACACGTAAGCACAACATAATAAATTTACCAGAAATACCACCATTCCGTTTCGAGAAGCTCACTGATCCAATACCCAGGCCATAGAGTAGCCGTCCTACTAAGAGAACACTAAGGTCTGGAGCATAAGCAGTCAGCACACCACCAAGCAAATATAGTAGAGAAGCAATGATGAGTTCTCTCCTCCTTCCTTCACACACAAACGAAAACTACATGTTAAGATAAATTCACATGTACATGCTCCAGGTATGATGAAGGAGTCGAGTACCGAGGAAATCTGCAATTGGATAGACAAGGAGGGAACCAAGAAGGGCCCCATAAAGGGAACCACTGACCTGCACTCAAACGAATAAACGTTATCACATATTACAGAAAGAAAAAGAACAAAAAATGTCCACAAATGATGCATCAAATCTTCTGAGTATCATCAAGAAATCATACCACTAGACCCAGCTGAACAGCTGAGAGGTTGAACCAAGTAGTTCCACTAAGCTCAGGCGACTGACATTATCAAACATAAGATATTAGACAAGAATAGAATCTTCTAATGCAGGTACTGCTAACTAAACATTAAATGGCAAGTTAATTGGACAAGTCTTCAGAAAAAAACAGTAATCTGTTGAAGCACCTGCAAAGAGATTGTAGCACCAGAGGTGGCACCAATGTCATAGCCAAATAATAACCCTCCCAGAGCTGGAAACAAAAATCTGATTTCAAGAATCAAAATTACTCCCATCACTAAATCTGAAAATAATCTAATGATCTAGCTCTTCAAATTTTCTAAAATGCACCCTTTACCCAACAAATAATAAAGAACATGCAATTCAAACCCAAAAAAATAAACAAAAAAATAGAAGTACCCAGTAGTAGAAAAGTCAATTAAACACAGGAAGAGAAGGGGATTAGATAAAAACGTACGGCAAAATCACTGAAGACCAAGAAAAGGGCTCTTGATAAGCTGATTCGGGTAAAAGTGAGCTAGCTTCTTCCCCTGAAGAATAATCACTCTGGGCAGCAACCTAAAAGAACAATCAAAAGCATTCAATGTTTAAGAGACGACCCAAAGATGAAAAGATAATTAATTGTTGAACTCCTACATGGGATCCTGGTTTCTTCCTGGAAAACAGTGATGGAGTTGCGAAAATGTTGAGCTTGGTGTGATCTTTGGATTGAAAAGAAAAAGGCTTTGGGGAAAGTCGTGACTTGGTGAAGGAACACAAAGAGAAAGTGTAAGGCCTTTTTGGTTGCTGTGAGTGTGAGAGTTCGAGGTTCAACAAAGGCTGAGCAGTGGCACCGCAAGCCATTGGAAGAAGGAAGAAGGAAGAAGGAAGAAGGAAGAAAAGATCAGAGAACAGAAAAACAAAATCTGACAGGTGGTGGGAAAATTGGCCCGCTTTTATTATCCACCTCCTATTTTGTTTTGTTCAATTTTTATCGGGTAAATTACAACATTTTCCAGACTTAACTTAACTTCACTTTTATTTTTTATTTTGATCACTAAAGTTTGAAAATTATTAACTTGATCATTCAATTTTTACATTACAACATTTTAGGTCACTTAACCACTAAATCATAAACGATGTGATGACATAACATATAGTCAGATGATCCATCAAAATGATATTGTTTAAGATGTCTTGAAAAAACACACATATATAGATTTTAATTTAACAAAAGTAACTAAAAGTTTAATATTAATAAAATATTAAGATTATTTTTAAAAAGATAATAATATGTTTAGTATAAGCAGGGACGGATGCATGATTTTAAGTTAGAGGGGACAAACTTGAACTTATAGAATTTTAGGGGGCGAAAACAAATTTTCAATAGAAAAAAATATAAAATCAACATATATTTTAGATTTTTAGGGGGCAACCGTCTCATCCCCTAAGTTCATCTCTAGACATAAGATATTGTCATATTATTTTTGAAAAAAATATTGTATCAATAATTCTCTTAATTTTTTAATAGCAAAAATACCAAAATAAGATCTTTAAAGTTATAATTTACCCTTCAAAAGTAATAATATAATTACTTGACATGTAGTTTACCCTTCAAAAATGATTTTAAATCAGCATATATAATCGTACTTGTAGACACTCATTTTTGTTCGGGTCTACAAAAACATTTTCTCATATAATTATTTATTTATTTTTATTTATTTTATTTTATTTTATTTTATTTATTATTATTGTTAATAATATTTTTTATTTTTTTATTTTGTAGGCCACATGTGAAACAACCCCCTACTATCCCATTAACCCCACTATCTCCACCTTGCACGTTCAGTTCAACTAACCCCACCACATGTGCCTTGCTTATTATTTAAATCACAGGGGGGTTACAAACGAAGAGGAGACAGGGGAGGGGGAAGCATTTCGGAAAAAAGAAAAGAAGCAGAATGATGAGCAAAGTGGTCTATTTGTAGTTCATAAACGACATCAAAACAAGGAAACGAGAGGGTTCGATGCAATCGTCACCGACCAAATCCAATCCCAAATGACGCTTCTTCCTCTCTTCATCACTCGAAAGCAAAGCTTCTCGATTTTCTCTACTCATCAAAAGAAAATGGTCGGTAAAATGGCCATCATCGAGCTAAGCAAATAAACCCCAAAATCCAAATCCCCAAAATCAGTTCCCAGATCCTTACCAGTCTCTTTGGCATTGATTCAAACACCATTCAGCTCCAGATATTTCCCATGGCGGCTCCTTTCGTGTCCCTGTCAAATGTAGGTTTGCTTTCAAGTCCAAAAACCCTGTCAAAGAATCAAACGTCATCGCCAATGTGCAATGCCCTTAAGCTTCCTCAAAAGCTCTCGGTTTCGTCTTCATCTTCATCGCGCTTCTTCTCTGGGTCATTTTGTCTTCCCTCTCTTAATTCAACCCAGACAAATCCCCGTGTTCTCCGCCATATTCGGGCCAGTGCTGAGGTGGCACCTGTACAATCAAAGATAACAAACAAGGGAGAAAGGCTTTGGTTATAAAGGTTATGCTTTCCATCGTGTCCTGGCTTTGGTTATAAAGGTTCTGCTTTCCATCGTGTCATTAAAGATTTCATGCTTCGGGATTTTGATAAAGGAAATGGAACTGGAGGCAAAAGTATATATGGATGTGTACCTTCAAATATGAAAACTTCAAGTTGACCCACGTTGGACCCGGAGTTGTTAGTATGGCAAATGCTAGCCCAGACACTAATGGCAGCTAATTTTTCATTCGCACTGTCAAGACACCAACAGTAGTCGATTCATTTTTAATCACACAATTCGTATTCTTCATGAAGATGGGTATTTGTTTAATTTTATTTTATTATTATTTTTAAAAAATTTTAAAATTTTTTAAAATTTGTTTATTGTTTATTATTTAATATTTTTGACTTTTTAAGGATACTTTTAACCAATCAAAGATAAGTAATTCAAATCGGGTTTTTAATTTTTTATTTAAATTTTTTATTTTCGCAATCAAGACAACCAATAAATTAATTGATACCGAAATGGCGGTTCAAGGGTGCTAATCATTCTTTGACCGTAATCGACTCCCGAATCCTACTTAACTATGGTGAAACGCGGATCAGGTAAGATGGTGTCCGATCTACCTAAATTTTATTTTAAAATGATCGGTGACGACTCCAATTCATTTTTCTTAAGTCGAATTCCAATTTCGAGGCATAACCGAAATACGGTTCCGACAATAGTATTAGTGATTGCAGTGAAATGATCGAGAACTCCATCTTTAAAGTTACAATTTACCCTCTCTTTTTTTTTACTTTATTTACATGCGAGGGATGTTGATTTGATATCCAGTAATCCAACTTCCATCAACGTGTAATGATTTTGACTATAGATTAGATTGGCCTTTCCAAGAAAACAAAATTAGAAAGATGAAGAATGATTCAGACGTTAATTATTATTAGGTTTAATATAAAAATAAGTCTCTAAAATACTTAAAATTATTTTTTGGTGTTTAAAAAATTTTATTAAAAAATAGATGTTTAAAGTTTTTTTTTGTTATATTTTTAAATTTTTACCGCTAAAAAAAACCTATTAAGTGATATGTATTAAGTTCAAATTTTTTTATATTTAAAAAAATTAGACGTGACATGTGTCACTTAACAATTTTTTTAATTGTAAGCATAAAAAATGTAATGAAAAAAATTTTATACACTTATTTTTAACGAAAATTTCTTTAGGCACTAAAACGTTTTTTGATATATTTTTAATCACTTATTTTTTATTAAGCCTTATTATTGTAATAAGGGTAAACTATAATAATAGTCCCCAAACTTTTAGGGTGCTTGCATTTTGGTCACCCTACTTTTGAAACTTGCAATGCAATCATCAAATTTTTAGTTCATTTACATTTTGGTCACTACTGTTACCAACCGGGAGTTTTTGCCGACGTGCCACTTAATCCCGTTATTTTTTTTGACATGGCAGTTTCTTCTTCTTCCCCCTCTACTGCTTTTTCTTCTTCTTTATTCTTCTTCAAAATCTTGGTTGGAGAGCAAAGTTCCTCTTTTTCTTTCAATAATTTTGGTAAAGATCCAAAATTTGAGTCCAATATTACTTTATATGGTGATTCATGTGTTGGTAGCGATGGATTTTGGATTCAACCCACCAACTCAGTGAGTTGGAGTGCTGGGGCAGTGATGTGCAAGAAACCCATCAAGCTTGTTGAAGGTAAAGTCATGAACTTTGCTTCTTTTTCAACTTACTTTTCCTTCTCAATGTCCCATGGAAACGACGATTGTTTGGCTTTATTATGGTTCCTAGTAGTTTTAAAGTTGATGTATTGGGGAACAGTTCGTTTGGGGGTTCTCTTGAATAGTTTTAAGCTAAGGTAGGTTCTCAACTTGTCTTTGTAGCTTGGTAATTGCTATCTCTCATCCCTCTTGCATATTAGGTCGGTTTTAGAATCGGGTTTTGAAGCTAAAGATGATTATTTTGAAGAAGAAGAAGAAAACGTAGAAGATGAGGAAGAAGAATAAGATGCCACGTCAAAAAATTTAATAGGGTTAAGTGTCATGTTAGCAAAAACTAACGAGTGGTAACAGTAAGGACTAAAATAAAAATGAACTAAAAGTTCAATGATTATATTATAAATTTTAAATTTTGAGTAACCAAAATGCAAGTGTCCTAAAAGTTCATAGACTATTTTATACCCTTATAATAAACGGATCAGATTCTAATTGATCTTTCTTGTAAGCAAAAACCTAGTGTATTTTGGGCATCCTTGCTTTTCACGTGCATTGTTTAGTTTTTGATTTGCCGATGAATTTTCGGCATATATGAATTTTATTAGCTCTATTATATCTTTTTAATTGAAGTAGTTAATATTATTAAAAAATGAAAATATTTAAAGTTATTTTTGGAAATAAATTATTGGAATCTAACCTTACTCAGAGAAGATTGTATTATCTTATTTGGTTTGTTTATCAAGAATGTAAGATTACACTATTTGGTTGGAGAAATGTAAGATTATTTGAATTCATATTTTATAAAATTATCTTTATGACATATTTTTTTAACAAGTTAAACTTTAATATTAAATTATAAATATTTGAATAAAAGTTTATAAAATATGTTAATTGTTACACTATCCTAGTTTAAAAAAAATACATTTAACATATAATTAATATAATTACTATATCAAAATACTTTTAGATAACTTTCATAAGTATCACATTTATTTATATAAAATATAATATAAGATAAAAAATAATATTATGGTCTCAAATGGACAGGTATATTATTTTTCGGTGTATAAGATCTATTTTTAATAACTAAAAATTATATATTTTTAAATGATTATATTTTTATAATAATAATATTTTCACCTTATAAAATTTTAAAATAATTAATATTAAAATATTAAAAATATCAAATAATTTTAACTACTCAAATTTTTAATATTTTATTTTTGTATATTATTATTATTATTATTATTATTATTAAGTTTATAATTTTGAGTAAAGCATGATGAATAAGAATTGAAAAGGATCCAAATGAAAAGAATTTATTTGTGTTCAAAGTGGTGGAAATTGTTCATTACCTAAGAATTTGGAGACAATAACAAAAAAAATGCTACTATTGGTAATAATTATTATCTGGTAATGATCTTTTTTGCGAACCAAAGTGAGAATACAATGTCAGGAAAGATTATTCCCCTTGATAATGATCTTTTACGCAAACTAAATGCCCCCAAGAGTTTACAACTATCATTTTAAACTAAACACAAAATTTAGACATTTTCCTATAACATTGAAACTAGCAATTTTATATCATATAAGGATCATACATGAAAAAGATTAAAAATCCAACCAAAAGACTCGAATAAAAACTAAATATGAAGAAATCTGTCTATTTTGACAAACGAATCATAAAAGGGATTAAGTTATTAAAAGATTACTGAGAATC